AGCGCTTTGTTGATGCATGCGCGTGCCTCCCGCGCTCAGCTGCTCCAGCAGGCCGAGGTTGAGGCGTGATGGCCTACGAATTCATTCCGAGGTACGTGCGGGGAGGAAGACCCAGAGGGAGCGCTGCAGCAGGAGCAGGGTGGGTGGGTCGAGCGTAATGCCTGTGTGGTCTGGGCGCAACGCCCATAACGCATGCAATTGTCTCTTCATTAGGCGTGATGCTAATCAGCTCTGGGTGCAATGCATACACGGTGGAGGGGGGCGTTCGTTCAGGAATGTGCTCGGGAGGCTTCAGACCCTGGAGCGTCCCTTTCCTGATGAGGGCGGCGGTGATATCCATGGCCAGGCTTCAACTGATGTTCCGCCGGCTTCCAGGCCCCGTGATTCTTATCAAAGACTTCTTTTTTCTTTGCCCCCACTGCATCGGGCGCAATGCCATCCTCGTCGGACGCAGTGCCCATCAGCGCTGGACGCAGCGCCCACGACGGCAGGGCGGCAGCGGGACCAGCCGCGCGGGAGCGGCAGGGTTCCCAGCTCCATGCCCCGCTCCTGTTGCCCGCTGCCTGTTGGATGCTGCAGCGGAGCGCGCAAGGTCCCCATCCGGCCCTCTCGGGTGGATTCTGCCGAGGCGCGTCCCGCAGGCCGGGGTCTGCCGGAGCATCTCGGTCCGTGGAGCGTTCTGCCCGATGCGGTGTCACGGGGGGGGTAACCTTCGTTGGGCTAGACCAAGGCGGCAGACCATAGCAGCACGGCAGACCAGCACGGCAGACCACTGGACCACCGCAGACCAGCACGGCACACCACAGCAGCACGGCGCACCATCGCAGCAGCACGACAGAGCCGGCCAGGTTTCTGCGAATGGGCAGGTTCGTTCGCGATATCCTCGACAGGTCGGCTTCGGAGGGGGCTCTGGATCAACATCGTTTAGGAATCGCTCGTGGGGCGCTCCAGAATGTAGCCCAAAAAGAGGCCTAAGAGGCCCCCCGGAGGACACCACGAGCGCCCGAGAGAGCGCCCCAAGAGGGTCCGTAGCCAGTTCGGTTCAGGTTTGGCCCAAGCGTGAAGCCAAAGCCGCTTTAGGACAAATAACAAGTATTGCAAAGGCCTTGCGGCCGGCGCCGCCGACCCTGAAGGGGGATGACGACGACGACGGCGGCGGTGGCGACGACGACGACGACGCTGACGCGGGTCAGAGTCCTCAGGGATGGTTCTTGGGGTCTCTTCGGAGCGCTCTCGCGGGCCTCTGGGGAGCAGGTCGGGAGCCTCTTGGGAGCCACTTGGGGGCCTCTCGAGGGCTTCTTGGGGGCCTCTTGGGGCTTCCTGGGTTCCGTCTTGGGGTCCTCTTGGGCCGTCTTGGGGCGATTTGGGGGGTCTCTTGGGCCGCCTTGGAGTGTCTGGAAGCCGAAAAGGCGAGAATGCCAAAATCTGCCAAAAAACTTAATGACAATCAATGCAGTTTGCCTCGTGGGGCTCTCGTGGGAGTGCTCTTGGACGCCTCTTGGGGCGTCTTGGAGGCCTCTTGGGCCGTCTGGAGGATATCTTGGGCGTCTTGGACCGATCATGCAGCGAGTCTGGGCCCTTTTGGACCGTCTTGCAGGCCTCTTGGGGCATTCTTGGTCCGTTTTGGGGCTGTTTGGTGCTCCAGGAGCCCCCAGAGGTGATCGTATTCTGAACAGGGACACCCCTCGGGACCACCCCCCCAGGGACCGGAAATGGGACAAACTACAATCAACTGGAACCAAATCCAACCACCTCGGTACACATTGCAACCCCGTTGGTACTAATTCCAACCACTCGAGGAGACATTCCAACCAACCTCTATGAGAAGCCCCACAGGCGTCTTAGAGGCGTCTTACGAGCGTCTTCGAGGCGTCGCGCGGGCGTCTCAGAAGCGCCGTACAGGCGCTTCGGGGCGTCGTACGGGCGTCTTAGAGCGACGCACGGGCGTCTTAGCGACGTCGTACGGGCGTCTCAAAGGCGTTGCGTGGGCGTCTTAGAAGCGTCGTACGTGCGTCTTTGAGGCGTCGAGCGGGCGTCTTGGGGCCTTGTCCGGGCGTCTTAGAAGAGTCTTAGGGGCTTTGTGCGGGCGGCTTCGAGGCGTCGTACGGCCGTCTTAGAAACGTCGTACGGGCGTCCCAGAGGCGTCTTCAGCGGCGTCGCACGGGCGTCTTAAAGGCGTCGTAGGGGCGTGTTGAGGCGTCGCACGAGCGTGTTAGAGGCGTCGTAAGGGGCGTCTTCGAGGCGTCGTAAGGGCGTCTGGAGAGGCGTCGTACAGGCTACTTAGAGGACGGCGTGCCTGCGCCGGATTGGTGGGATGCTGATGATGATGTTGATGATGATGAGGATGAGGATGATGTTGATGCTGATCGGGGTCATGATGCTCATTATCATGCTCATACTCATGATGAGGGTGATGGTGCTGGTGATGATGATGGTCGTGATGATGACGATGGTATGATGATGATGGTGACGATGATGACGGCGATACTGCTAATGGTGATGATGGTGTTGATGATGATGACGAGGAGGAGGATGGTGGTGATGTTGATGTTGGTGCTGGTGGTGGTGTTGGCGATGATGATTGTGATGGTGATGGTGGTGATGATGACGATGATCATGATGATGAATCCGCGAGCCCTCACACCCTTCAAATTTAAACCCTGAAGCCCTTAGGCCCGTAAACCCTTATGCCCTTAAACCGTACACCTCTCTAAGGCCTTAAATCCCCGAACACCTCAATTCGTTCAACCCTTAAATCCGTAAACCCTGAAGCCCCGAACGTTAAACCCTTACACACCTAAACCTTATAACATACCCTTGAACCCTCAAGCCCTTGAACCCCTAAGCCAGGAAGTGTTCAAACATTTGAATGTTCAAATAAGCACTTAAGCCCTTAAGCCCTGAAACTTGAAACCCTTAATCTCTTAAACCTTTCAAACGCTTCAACCCTGAAGCCCTTGAGCCCTTAAACCCTTAAGCCCTGAAGACGTCAAGCCCTTGAGCCCTTACAGCAACATCCCTGGACAAACCTGGTAAACATTCCAACCTGGGCAATTAGGCTAGCTTCTCGAATGAATGTGCAGGCATAATTCAGATTATGCAGTTTGGAGGTGTCCGAACATCGCCTCACAATTAGAGTCATGCAGTGACCTCAGCCGGTTGGAATTAGTACCAGTTTGTCTCTCCGAGCTGGTTGAAAAATATTCCAGCCAGTTGGGATTAGTCCAGGTCGGTTGGAAGTAGTACCGCATGCCCCAGGGCCCCCCCCCAGTTGGGAAGGGATCAAAGGGAAGGGGCTCCCCTTCGACTTGACTGCGACGGTCTTCAATTCCCTTGTTCCTTAAATTCCTTGGGACTGACGGCGACGACGACGACGACGATGGCGACGACGACGACGACTCAAACGGAAAAGCGTCCTACACACGCCGAAGGGTCGGCGGCTTCACCCTGTGTGGGTACACCCTGGTCGTTGAGGCTTCGTGCCGCTGGTGTCCCTTGTGCGCACCATTCTGGACGTCATGGTGTCTTACACTCTCGTTGCCGCCACTCTGCACCTCGCCCTCAGTCTCGCGGCAAAGCTGTTCATGTCCTTCGGCGTCCACGCAAAAAAGCCAGAGGGCGGGTATGAGGATTTGGAGAAGGATCGAATTGAGAACATATCGAAAGCTCAGCTCAACGTGGCCGAATATGAGGCAACCTTCATTGCGCTGTTCCTCTTCCTCCACGTCCAGAAGGTTGAGGGCGTGATCGTCATGATCCTTTGCGTTTGGACCGTACTCGCACAGGCGATCTATTTCTGGGGGCGCACGATCTCTGGGAAGGTAATGCCTTGGACTATCATCGGCGCCCTTTCGCGGTACCTCTGCATGATGCTCTTCGTGTACGTCCTAGTTGCTGAGGTGATGAAGTCGTGAGTGGTGCGTGAGTAATGATATCTGTGATTCATCGGGCTGCTTCGGCTGAGCAGGGCTCCCTACAATCTGGCGCAGCCTGGCCTGGTTCATTACAGCTCAGCAAGCTAGTGAGCATAGCACACGGCTCACAACCATTCCAGGCCCGTGGACACCGCAAGTAAGATAGATGGGTAGGAGGAGGAGGAGGAGGAGTGCAAACCCAAGACTCATCAACGATGTTAGAATATACCCTTCCTCCAGATTCCCTCTTCACAGGTCCCTACGAGGGCTCATTTCCACAGATGGAAGCGCCCCGCTGGGAGAACCGTTTAAAGATCCTGAGCACGCCAGAACACCATTCTCTGGAAGCCAACGCTACGAATCAACCTGGCCGTTGCGTCTTGACGATGCTGAGTCGTGTCGACACACCATTCCTGGGACGTCCACGCCGCGAATCAACGTAACAGATGCGCCGTGACAATCCTAAAGCTGTCGAAAACACCATTGCTGGTACGTTGCCCATGGGAACCCGTGAACTTCTTTGAAATATTTAAGACAAGTGCGCACGGCGCTAAGGCGCGAGTCACATTTTGAAAACTAGCCGCCACCAATCACGAATGCCCGCGGCGCTAAGGCGAGAGCCACATCTTGAGAACCAACCGCCCTCAACCCGTCAAACTCCCTTTGCAATGTTTTCACACGAGTGTGCGCGGCGTTGAGGCGAGAGCTACATGTTGAAGACCGCCTTCCCTCCATTTGCAGAACTGTCGCTGCTGACGTTTAACACAAATGCACGCGGCGCGAAGACGAGATACACATGTTCAAAACCACGCGCCTTCAATGTGTGAAAGTGTTGCCAATCGAATGTTTAACACGAATGTGCGCGGCGCTGAGGCGAGAGCCACATTTTGGAAGCGGCCCGCCCTCCATCGGTGAAACGGTCGCCAGCTCTTAAGCTTCAGGATCGCAAATTGGTAAGGAAGTCTCAGGCGAGACGACGCCTGGTCCGCCCTTCCGACTGGCCTCGGGGTGCAGCAGGGAGGTTTACTAATCTACCAGGGCAAGGAATGGAGGAGGAGGAAGATCCGAGCGGCTCCCTGGCATGGCATGGCATGGCCTCGGTGTCTGCAGGCGGTCCTCGTTCTCATTTTCCGCGTTGGTCTTCCCACGCCTGCTGCGCAGATCGTGCCGGCTGATGCCAGCGCGCAAAGGAGTTGCCAGCTTGTTCTTTTTGTCGGGCCGCAGATCCCGATCGATATCACGAGCGATCCACCTAGAAAGACGAGCTCAAGAGGGCCCCAGACGGCCCAAGAGAGCCCCAATACCGCCCAAGACGATGGCGGTAAGAAGGCCTAAAAGGACCCCCAAAGAACCCCACGACATGCCCACACAGCCCAAGAAGACTCCAGAAGCCCCCAAGGAGAAGTCCAGCATCCCGAGAGGCCCAACACAAGCTCGAGAAGGTCCCAGAAGCCCCCAGGGTAGCCCCAAAAGGTCACCAGGGCCCCCCCAGTCTTCGACATCCTTCCCCTCGTGCTTCTCGCGCGCATGCCTCAAGATGGCCGTGGCTTGTAGAGCCAGCCGTGCTTGCCGCCTATAGGCTGATTTGATGCTGGGGCGAATTGTGAGAGTGTCGCTCTCGCCCGTACTATTTATTCTTTCTGCCGAGCACCTGATCGACATGCTCGGCCACGGTCGTGCACCGTTACTTGCAACTTGCATGTTTGCCTGCTCTGCAGTCGCTTCGGCAGCCTGCCTTGCAGCGACTGGCTGCAAACAGACGATGAAACGGCGCGCCCCGTTGTTGTCCAGCCAGGCTGCAGCATCGTAAGTGCACCCTCGACATGTGAAGTCTTCTCTGTTCAGGACGGGCTCCCCAGGAGTCTCGATCCTTTCCATCGGGCTGGGTTTTCATCGATCCTTTCCACAGGGCTGGGTTTTCATCCCGGGCAGTTTTTTCATAGAGCCCGACGAGGGCCCCCAGAGGCCGAACAGTGCCCCCAACCTTTCGTGGTGTTTTTTCGCGGTGCGTCCTGGGGTGATTCGGGTCTCTCCCCCCCTCCCTGGCCAGGGGCGAGGCGACGCGACACCACCACCACCACCAGGGGAGCCACCTCCAGCGAGGAGGCCACGATGCCTCCCCGACCTGGGGGGGCCGCAAGCCAGTGGGAGCCCCCCGTGGCTCCTCCCGCTCGTGGCTGGTGGTGCCGCTGTTCCCTTGCTCCTGCCCGCGGGGGCGGCCCGCCCCCTGCCGCCAGGAGGTGCAGCGGCAGCTGGAGGAAGAGCGCCCCCCCCCCCCGCGGACGCGCGCGGCACGCCCTCCGTGCCGCGCGCGTGCGGCACGCCCCCGCGGGCGCGCGGCATGCCTACTTTTCCTCCCCCTCCTCCTCCTCCTTCTCCTCCTCCCTCCTCCTCATTCTCCTCCTCCAACATATATATTTATATATATATATATATATATCAAGAGCTTCGCGGAGTGAGGGCGTGTGGTTTTCAAAATGCGGCTCTCGCCTTAGATCCGCGCACATTAGTTTAAACAGCTGCAAGAGCTTCACGGATTGAGGGCGGCTCGTTTTCAAAATGTGGCTCTCGCCCTAGCGCCGCACACATTCTTTTTCTTACAATGTTGAAAGAGTGTCACGGGTTGAGGGCGTTTGGTTTTCACTTGTGCCTCTCGCCTTAGCGCCGCGCACGTTCGTCTTTTGTTTACACATTTGAGAGGGCCTCGCGCATTGAGGGCGCGTGGTTTGTCTCGCTTTCGCGTTGCGCACATTCGTTCTATACATGTGCAAGAGCTTCACAAACTGAGGGCGGGTGGTTTTCAAAATTTGGCTCGCGCCTGAGCACCGCGCACATTTGTTCTAAAAAGCAGGTGGTTTTCAATGTGTGGTTCTCGCCTTAGCGCCGCGCACACTGGTTGTTTAACATTGGAAGGATTTCACGGGCTCAGGGCGGTTATTGTTCAGTGGTTCTCGCTTTAGCGCCGCGCACATTCGTTTTAAAAGTTGCTAGAGTTTCGCGGGCTCCCATGATCGACGTACAAGAAATGGCGATTTGAAAGGATTCAGGATCATGGGGGCGCAGAAGTTACGTTGTTTCGCGGCGTTGCCGTCCCAGGGATGGCGTTCTGGCATGATTCAGCATCGTCAAGACGGAACGGCCAGCTTAATTCGTGGCGTTGGAATCCCGAGACCATTTTTGAGCATGCTTCAAAGTCTCCACACGGTTGTCTTCCAACGAGGCAGTTCACTCAGTGGAAACGAACCGTTGTATGGGGCCTATGAAGAGGGAGTTTGGATGGAGGGCTAATTCAAACATCGCTGATGACTCTGGGGCTTACACTGGTCCTCCTCCTCCTCCTCTTCCTCCTCCCTCCTCTCGCCCCTCCCCCCTCCTCACCATGATAACTGTCAAGGGGCTCGTGCCAGCGTGCTACTTCTACTTGGAATTGGAGAACCACTACTCTGCCAACAAGGGCTGCTGCGCCACTCACCGCAGACTCATCAAGGTTTCCTTCGACCGCCTCAACTTCTGATCCTGAGCTGCCGCGTGGCGCACACCGTGCGCCGCCTGAAGCTGCTGGAGCTGAAGCTACTGTTGCTCCCTCCTCCTCCTCCTCCTCCTCCTCCTCCTCCTCCTCCTCCTCCTCCTCCTCCTCCTCCTCCTCCCCCTCCTCCTGCACAGGGCGCTCATCATGTGTTTCATGCATTATGCTGCTATGACAGGCCTGACGGCATCCGCCCTCCCCGCCGACTTCACGGATAAGCCCGGCCCAGTTATCGTTCGCATGTTCCGAGGTTCGATGAAGCGGGCAGCACCCGCAGAATACGAGGGCAGTGTACGCACCATGTCGAGGAACGCGGTGCTGGCGGATTGGAGCCACCCGCAGCGCCACGTGCAGACGATTGACGCGACGTTTGGCGCGACGGAGCTCGACCAACTTGTGTTTCATCGCCGGTCTGATGGAGCAGGAACAATATGTGGCCCCTTCTACCCCGTCTTCCGAACGATGCGTAAAGGACCTCAAAGCGTTGGGTTGGACGGAGGGGGAGTTCTGTTACCACTGGAGGGAAAGAGGACACTCGGACACTCGGCAAAACACTCAAGCCAAAGCGAAACTGGGCAAGGAGGAGATCAAGTACTTGGGAAGAAAGAGGAATCCGACATCCCAAGATGGACCACGTCAGGCCCCAGAGGTACCCGACCATGACCTGAGCGACACGAGCACTATACGCATTAGCATCGAGGAGTTTGTACGTTGCGAGCTGGAGAACAGTGGTGACCCATCTGGAGACTGTGTTCCGACTGTCGAGGGCTTCCCGGCGCACGTCACGCACGTTCGGAGCATGCGCAATGAGTTCTCCATGGTCGTATGCACGAGCGCATGCCCATGGTGTCGCACAATATTGGCTAGCAGAGCAGCATGTCTCAAACGTGTACCCACTATGCCGAAAACCACGCCAATGAGCTGCCCCACCTGCAGCAGATCAATTTCAATTCAGGCCCGAGGAGCTGAGTGCCTGCCTTTGTGGCTACTTCTTGAGCAGCACCAGTGGAGGAGGCCATCGTGCCCGAGAGGATCAGGACCCAGGAGCTGCGAGTCATCACGGTGAGGACGGCCTCGGCGGCGCAGGCCCAGGGCAGCCGACGGCGCTCGAGCGGCGGGCGCAGGGCATGCTGCGCACGCGCCGGGGGAGGGAATCCAAACGAGTGGAGCAGGCCCGCGGACGAGCACACAGAGCCAAGGACTAGCCAGCCAAAGCCCCCACTTCTATCGCGTGCCCCGACCTCCGTCTACACCCAACACACCAAGACCCTACATGGGCTGGCTTCGAGCACTGGCAAAAGCAGGCAACGCAAGGGCCACATAGCTACTAGATAAGCTAGGAGAACGCAAGCATGCAGTCACAACTTTAGTAGAACTGTTCTCGTTGCGAGGACCCGCGGGCCTACGACAATTAGCAGGTTGTTGTGTGGTGCCCGAGGGGGTGATGGGCCCAAGGCTCTCAGCCCCTTGATCTGCTTAAATCTAAGAAGCAGGGACCACTCCAGAGCCCACGAGGGCCCTGCAGGGTCCAGTGGCCAGGGGTCCCTCCGGCGCTCCCAGGGCCCCCGGATATCTCATTGCAAGCAGTTGTTGGCAACCCAAGAGGAGCGCAAGTTTTCGGCATCCCGATTTCTTGCAGCACGGTCGCTGCTGGACTATGTCCCTTTCGCTTCCGGCGGCACTATACGTGGCGAGGTGTGGTTTGGCGCGTTGTGGTTTTTTGATTTCAATGTTCGGGTGCTGGTGGGAATGAAACTACACATGTGACAATCGTCTTGCGAGGCTGCCTGTGGAGGAACCGATCTTTACAACACGCGTGAGAGGTTGCCCTATAGCCTGCGGTGCTGATCACAGTAGGGCCTAATCGAACCGAGCTCATGCCAACCAAGTATGATACGTTATCGGTGTGGTGTGTGATGAGCTGTGAAGATGAGGTATGCTCGGCTGTGTTCGTCTTCCTCAGGCTCCAGTCAGATACCTTTCGCTGGTGTCGATCTTCTGGTTCGTTTACTTCGCGGGTGAGCACAGGGCGCGGCCTCAGGCATTTGTTGTGTTTTGTCGCACCGCGATGGAGCCAATTCCCACTCCTCCCTCCTCCTCCCTCCTCCTCCTCCTCCTCCTCCTCCTCCTCCTCCTCTTCCTCCTCCTCCTCCCTCCTCCATCCCTTTTCCACATACACAAGTCCCCCCGGTCATGTCCCAAGACGTGTCTCTAGGGCGGGCCTTACGTTTCGCGTGAGACTTCTTCGCCTCGCATGGTCCGGAAGCTTGAAACTTGCAACAGCTTCGAGGATGGAGGGCGGGTCGACTTCGAAACGTGGCTCTCGCTTTAGCGCCGCGCGCGTTCGTTTTCAACGTGTGCGGCAGCTTCAAGGATGGAGGGCGGATCGTCCCCATCGATTCAGTACCGCACGCGTTCGCCGTGGAAGTTTACAACCGCTTCAAGGATGTTGGGCGGGTGGTTTGACAAATGTGGTTCTCGCTTCAGCGCTGCGCGCATTCATTGCAATATCGCTGATGCATATTTGGTTTACACTGGTCCTCCTCCTCCTCCTCTTCCTCTTCCTCCTATTTCCTTGTTCCTTACACATAAATCCTCCCTGTCGCACGCCCAGATAGCGGGTGGGGTTTCTCGCCTCACGTTTCCGCGCTATCTATGATCCTGAAGCGTGAAATTCGCAGCAGTTTCAAGGATGGTGGGCGGGTGGTTTTCAACATGTGGTTTTCGCATTAGCGCCGCTCAAATTTGTTGTCAAAGTTTTGAATCACTTCAGGGAATGAGGTGGCTTAGCTTCACGATGTGGCTGCCGCCGTAACGCAGCGCGCAGTCGTATTACAAGTACGCAACGTATCCACGGAGTTGCAGGGGTGAGGTCCCAGGAATACGATTTAAGGTGGTCAAGACGCAACATTTGCTTTGATTCATTGAATTGGATCATTAAGATGGTGTTCTGGAGCGGTTCCACATGGCCAACACGCAACAATCAAGCTGATTCGCGGCATTGAAATCCAAAGCAATTCGTTATGCCACGAAGGAGATGTTTCAGACTGTTGTTTTTTCGTGGAGCAGTTCCCTTATGTGTATATATATATGTAGATATACACACATATGTGTGTGTGCGTGTGTGTGCGTGTGTGTGTGTGTGCGCGTGCGTGTGTGTGTGTGTTGCGCGCCTTTCTTTCCACTCCCCGCATCCGGCCAGGGCGTCGATGTGGATCCTTTGCGTTGGGTTATGGCTCAAGCATTCGCAACAAGTCACTGCGAATGGATTTTCTCCTGCCGGCAGCACGCTTCGCCTGACAGGGGGCTCGCGGATTTTCGAGGTGGGACATCCAGCGGTGCCCATCCATCACCATACCTCCGTGCCCGCATCTCCGGGTGCGCGGCCTGCCCTCCTTGCCCTGGCTGCCCTGTGTGCCCGGGCGGATCGCCGGCGCCGGCGGCTCCTGGCCCCAGCCGGCCAGAGAGCGCTTTGGACTTTTTTGCTGGTGTTCGTGAATGAGGTCTTGCTGGTCGGCCACTTCCTGAGGTGGATATACTTGTGCGTTGGGCCTTATGTGTGAGCTGATTGCGTCGACATGTTGGCCGTAGTTCAAGTAGCACAAGCGGAGCCAGCCCCGCCAGAGATGCAACGGCGAGCGTGGGTCTGCTACGAAGGCGATCCGGTTGGGCACCAGCTGCAGGTCTTGGGGCGAGTGAGGGTACCGAATGAGGCCGTCCCGCCCTGACCTGTACCGTCGACACGGACATTTCCGACGAGTAGTAAGAGCACACTTTTGCTGCATCGCGGACCACCAGCGGCTGCGGCTGCCCGCTGCGACTGGGTCTTTCTTGGTCCCGTTGACTTTCGGCCCCCGGGCTCTGGCGGCTGGCGCTGCGCTGGGCGCTGCTCCTCCGATTGCTGGGGGAACGCCACAGTCGGCTGCCTTGGTCGTGGATGTTGACGGGCCAGCTGCCGCTGCTCATGGCGCCGGACTCGGCGCTGTTGGGCCAGCAGCCATGGCTGGGGCGGCCCCCGGCGTGCCGCCGGAGGATGGGGCTGCGCCCGCCGCGGTGTGGGCGGTGGTGGAGTCGACGACGGTTGGGGGGCCTGGGACCACAATCGTTCCCACGGCTGGGCCGATGCTGAAGGACTCAGTCAGTGGGCCTCACGCCACTGGCCGACGGGCACTGGGTTGCCATTCGCTCAATCTCGAGCTCGGCACAGGCGTATGCTGGACGGGAGGCCGCATCAGACGCCCGTATCATGGGCATCCTGGTGAACCCTGAAGTGCCTGGCTGACGGTTCCTATGGCAGTGGGGGGACGCGGTCGCCACATTCACGGAGGAGACGTTCGTGGAATGGCACATCCTTGGCCTTCGCATTTGCCTGCGGTGCTGCAGGTACACTGACCGCGCGCAGGGCGGACCTCTCGACCATTTCCCGTTCTGGAAGTTCACGCCCGGCCTGGCGGCCGACGACTGTGGGGTCAACGACTACAAGGCCAGGATGCGCGCCATCTACACGACTGTTTGCTGGGATGGCCTGGACTTGCCAAACAGATCTTAAGAAAGTGCCAGATGTACGACTGCGTCGACATGATGGACCGCGACCCCAACCACGGCTCCTCGGCGGCCGGCGAGGGAGGTGGCGACCAGAGCGACAAGAAGAAGAAGAATAAGAAGGGCCGTGGCCATGGCCGCGGAGAAGGTCACCGTATCCTCCTGATCTTCGGGTTAATCGATGAGGGGCCGTCTTCATTGGCCTCAGCCGCGACCGAGGAGAGAGCGCGGTCTGCCCCGCGCTCCTGGAGCACGTGGCGAAGGAGCTGGAGAGAAAGGCCTCGCCCCTCAAACATTGACGCAAGGCCCGCGAGGAGCAGTGGGCTGTGCGGCCACGACGCGGCTCGACCCGCGCGCGCCCCCTCACCTGGCGGCGCGCGCTTCTGGAAGGGGCCCCAGTGACGGTGGCCCACCGCTCACTGGCGACGAATTCGAGCAGGGCGCCCGTCTCGGCAGACAGCGAGATCTACTCCCACTTCCTTTACCTGATCAAGAACATCAGCCACGTTCAGAGGCCATTAGCACCGCGCGCACACGCTCGGCGGCTCGCCGCGGGTTTCCCCGTGCCCGCACTGATCGCATGACCCAGGAGGTCATTCAGACCCTCGACGAGCCCTACGTCGGCAAGCCCGGGCCCCGCGGTGCCCACCCTCAGTCAGTCTTTGCGTTCCGGCAGCGAGCCCCGACCATATCCGAGATGCGTTCCGACGGCGTGATAAGCCCCCAGAGATATTGTCTAGCTCGAGAGCCCTCGAGGAGCACTGAGAGATATCGACGCTTACTCCGGCGAGTCCGCTACCGCCGCTCCGCTCAGCCTTGATAGACTACACGCGTGACTTCTTCGCCGGGGCGACCTTTGGCGCGGGCCCGCTAGGGGCCCCTGGTCGCCGAGCTCGATGCGATCGCGGCGCCGCGCGCGGTCGCGCCCCCCCCCCCCCCGCGGCCGCCCAAAAGCCGCGCACCAAGGGTCGCTCTGACCCAGGGCCTCACATGCGTGCAGCCGATTTGAGAAGATCAACGGCCTCTCGCTCCTCGCTGAGGGTTCGAATCCAGCCCTTCTGGATCCCATGGGAGATGGGACTGGCCGTGCGATAGTTGAGCTGATTCAGCCCATGCCGTTGCCCCAGTCCAAGGGTCGCGCTCGCGCCATCGCCGAGTGCCCATCGGAAGCCACGCGCCGACCCGGCGCCGCGGAACCTCAGACAGCATTCCCAGTTGTTGAGGATCCTAGAGCGTCGGGGCAGATCGACTACTACGCTAACGAAGTACGCAGCGTTG